ATTCTCGAAACCATGTCCCTTTTGCAAAGAAATTCAGTTTTGAAAAACTGAAAACGTATATATTTCATATAATATGGCACGCTATAAACAACTCACATTTAATTATAAACCTATATAGTTTGTATTACATTTACCCTTATGCCAGCTAATACTTTGTCTCATACATGGTTCTTATAGCACCTTAAGTTGTACGTTTTTATCGTTGAGGTATTTTAACCTTAGTTCTTCAGTTTTAGCAAGTATTGGTTTTGTCTTTACTTCTTTACACGCTTGCATTAGAGGTATATATATATAATTAAAGGTGTATTGTTAGTCCTATATACATGATCTATACATTTCAAATATAAATTTTCACCGTGCAACGCCGGGTAACTTAGCTAGTATATATGTATATAATTAAAGGTGTATTGTTAGTCCTATATACACCTCTTTATATCTCAGTCATTAGCTTGTTAATAAGCCTAAGAATCATCTGGTATAACTTAACACTGTCTATGAATGTCTTGTTAAAACAATGCATGGCGTTGAACATAACATCTCGTGAATTGTCTTTTGTGTTGATTTGCTAACCAGATCCTGAGAATTTAATTTATTCTTATATCAGTAAGCGAGATCGCGTGATAGTATTATTGTTTTTCACCAATTTTGTTATTATAGAGGCGGTAAAATATATTTTATTTGTAGAATTGTCTTTGATATTTGTTACTAGATCAATATTACTGACTTATCGAAAGCGTAGCCTTATCTCGCAAAATTTAGATTAAAAAGAAACAACTAAAAACTTAACCAATTATATTTCGATGTTTAGTTTCATTCATAGTTTCACATTCAGTGATAGAACCATTTTCAATTTCAACACATTCTTTTACGTTTCACACTTAAGTAAATCGCTCTTTTAAACTTCGTGAAACTTTATTTTAGTAATATATAGTCCTCGTGGAACCTTAGTTCTATGTCTTTACTGTTAAAGTACTTAAATTTTAGATCTAGTGTTTTAGCATATATAGTCCTATACAATTTTGTATTCGGAGTATATAAGATTTTTACAGTTAGCTACATTTTAAGCGTCATTTTTTTTTACTCGTATATGTTCATATCTCGACTGTATAAAATCTTTAAAGTTTGACCTTATATAATTTAATATTCTTACAACTTTCTTACTTCTACATACAGAAAAGTACCAAACATATAATTATAGCAATTTTACACGAATAAATTTTTACATTGTATCTTTACACTTTACACTTGAGTGATGACACTTTTTAGTATTTTTGTTTTATATAAGAACTTTAACCATATCGATGGCAGTTGTAACACTAGTGTTTTTGTTGGTTCTACTGTATATTCCTGATACCAGAGAATGATCCCCTTTACTGCGGATGGTATACATGTGGATTCTTGCTTTTAAAATTCCCACGCGAGGTGTTGGATCGTAGGTTTTTGTGGTAATGTTGTCCATCGGCATTCCACTGTATGTTGCCAAGGTAATGTTGTCCATCGGCATTCCACTGTATGTTGCCATGGTAATGTTGTCCATCGTCATTCCACTGTATGTTGCCATACAGTAAGTCAATTACTTCCGCTTTCCCCCAAGATGTCACAGAGGCCTATATGACAACTTCTCGCTGCCGCTGCTGGGGAAAAATCCAGATTATTTTATGGATTTACTGGATAGCATTGACTCTGATGAGTTGACGCAGTAAAGAGAAAAAATAAAACATATAGGGGTCATATATGTACTAGCTGCAGTGAATGGGTTAAAATTTTGTTTATTTGTTTTAACGCAAAGCTACACAATTGAATCTCTACAGGGCATCGAATTCCGGATTTTAGCTTTTTAATTCCATGAACTTACTACTTAACTACTGAGGGACTTTTAAATATTTATTTTAGTTGATAAAACTTTTACTTCTTTGCTTTCTTTCAGTTATAAACTTCCTCGTCACAGATTGATTGTAAAGCTTTTTCACTTTGCATTTTGATTATAAGAATTTGCGTTTTGACAATAAAAATAAAACATTTTGTGAGCAAGAAAAATAAAGGCATGGCATCTTTTGTCAATAAATAATCATTCTCACTAGTTTCACTCGGAATTATAGTGTCGATGAAAGTGTTACATATATTTAATAACTCACATAAAGAACGGGTTAAGCCTCTTTTAATTTCATTCTCTTTTTTTTCTTGCAAAGTCGGACAGAAAGAGTAAAGGTCTCTCTGACAAAGTCATTTCTCAAGCTTCTTAAATCAAACACAAAAGGTAAATTACCCATATTTTATAATTTTAATAAGAGACCATGAATGATTAAAAGTGAGAAAGGTATCGAGAGTACTCATTAGCCTCCAGTTTTATAAGGAAACCTATTAAATGGCCTTCTTGGCCCTACCTAGGGCCTTTCAAATTTTACCAAGTCCTCTTTAAGGTGGTCATTTTCTGGGTTACTTTGAATCCATTCTCCCATTTCTGACCTCGCTTCTGATCCTCAGTATCAAGTCCCAGGCTTTGCTACAATGGGCTACCTGTTCCTGTAAGATTGCCACCATACGATGTTTAATTGAGACTAGTAAGCCAGATCTGTTGTTTAGAATGGTTATCTGGGATATTGCCATCACTCTAGTCTAACTGAGACTAGTCTAGGTGCCTGTGACTTATGATACATCTCTCAGGACTCTTAAGAGTCCTGAGAAAACCAGAAGGACTTAGGAGTTTGTGCTTTACTCCCATATGCACCAGGATGTACCTTTGTGGGACCAGGTCTCACAGGATTACTGTCGTTTATGGCCCTCTTAGTTTAGAGGTCTTCAACTTTCTGCTGATTTTTGTGAATTGCTGGTTCTCCACTATCATGTTTGGTGATGATGAATATAATCATCTAGCTGATAGAAGATGCTAGTTTGAGCATCATGGCTGGTTTGATTCATATACTCACTTTGATTGATAATAAGTTCTCAGCTTAAAAAATTTCCTTTATGGTTATCTCATAGTATTCCTTCTCCAACAGTATCAAAAGTATTCAATCACAGTAAGGTAGTAGAGCAGATATAACTGAATAATCACGATCAAAAAAGCATAATATTCCTTAGTCAAGAACAGTCTTTTTAAGCAAAAGTCACTTCGACCTTTCATATATCAGAAGTTCAGTCGATGACATAAGGTTAAGATGTTCTGATTGTTCATTACATAATCTTTTTTTATGAAAATATTTAAAAAGCCATCGTTTGAGTGTTTGTTTTTGAATTTCGCGCAAAGCTACACGAGGGCTATCTGCGCTAGCCGTCCCTAATTTAGCAGTGTAAGACTAGAGGGAAGGCAGCTAGTCGTCACCACCCACCGCCAACTTTTGGGCTACTCTTTTCCAACGAATAGTGCGATTGACCGTCACATTATAACGCTCCCACGGCTGAAAGGGCGAGCATGTTTGGTGCGACGGGGATTCGAACCCGCGACCCGCAGATTGCGAGTCAAGCGCTTTAACCACCTGGCCATGCCGGGCCAGAAGCCATCGTAAAACAATACATGCGATTTCTCTGAACTTAAGATATATACATACACACATTTCTATCTGAAGAAGTGTTTCCCCAGCATCAAAGGACATGCAAGGCCAACAGTTTCAAAGGGGACCAACATATAATCTTCAATGTCATACTCCTTGCTGGGCCATTGCCTATCAACATATCTAAAAGCTAGCATGGCTCTATTCACATGTGCATGAGAGCCCTCACTTTTATCTAGTTCTGGGGTAGGCCTGGTTTAGTGGCTAGCGTGCTCGGACTCTGTACCAGACAATTCATATTTCGAGGTCAGTTGCTGCAAAAATACACTCCACATATTAGGGTCGTGTGTGTGTGCTCTAAATGCGATGGTGAAATTCCACTATCCAATCAGAGTAGCCCAAGATTTGACGGTCGGTGCTTCTTACTAGCTGTCTTCCCTTTAGTCTATCAATTCAAAATGAGGGACGGCTAGCGTAGTTATCCTTTGTGTAGCTTTGTGCAGAATATCCAAAACAATTGGTAACTAACTTTATATTACAACGTCAAATCGCGAATCATTGTGTTTTAAGACGCATGAGTTTCTTATTTTCTGATCTATGAGCTCACACTGTTATTTATAGAACATAATTAAGAGAATGACTATTTTTCAATAAATACTGTTTTCATTTGCATTTATGAAAAATATACTGTGGTCACCGTTCCTAATTTTGAACTACTAAAGAGAGAGAAGGGCAGCTAGCTCCCTACCACCCACCGCCCACATCAAGAAAATGCCTGTCACTCTTATAGTGCTCTCAGGGAATATTTTGTGATGCCACGCCCTTCGAACAAATACAAGGGCTTCCCTGTGGCACAGCGGTATGTCTGAGGGCTTATAACTCTAGAAACCGAGTTTCGATACCCGTGGTGGGCAGAACACAGATAGCCCATTGCGTAGCTTTGTGCTTAACTTCAAACAAACAAATACAAGGTTTAGTATTTATAGTTAGAATGAACGTACAGAAATTTCCAAACTGTAACATATTATATATTCTTATGTAAAAAATAGTGTTTGTTTATTTTCATTCAGACGTGCCAGATTTAAAGTGAATTTTACTTGCTAATCAGTATACTAAAATGTAGGTTTCACAGATGTGTTTGACAGTTGCCGTTTATATAAATATGTGTGTGTACATGTAGCATATTGTGTAAGATAATAAGATTCATATCTTCACCATTTAATCATGGGTGTTTTCCTTACATCATCTCAGCAGTCTTGTCTTCACAGCCAGATGTATTCATACACCACGTAAGTACGTGTTTCTTTAATAGATATTACACTTCCTATCACTCGCTAAAACCCGGGGCTCGATTCTCCGCGGTCACTTTAGTTGTTTTCTGTCCTGTGAGTCTGTGAAGGTTATATTTTTTTATAAAAAATATTCTTAATAAACTAATGTAAGCTTATATACACTACAACCACATTTACTGTTATCAGTTATGAAAAACAGTAATCTTAAACTTTTCAGGGTCGTTTCACAGAAGTCGTTCTGCTCCTGCGCGCACTGCAGTGGCCAACGGTGGCGGCCGTTCACAAAGTCCTTCACCGGTAAGCAGCCAACCTCGTCCAATCAGAGATCGGTCTCACCGCCAGAGTCGAAGTAGTAAAAGTGGCGACGAAGAAGTCTCCTGTACTGGATTTTTTTGCTGTAGAATGATGGATCTTTATTGACCTTAAAAGAAGTAATGATGCTTATTGTAAATGCTGATACTTTATGTTTCCATGTGCTGTACCCACAAACCACCTTACTTTTAAACAAAAAAAAACTTTGCATGCCCCCACCTGAAAAAAAAGGGGGGGGACTGTTAATAATTTGAAAACCTGCAATATGTTATCTAGCTTGTAATTAGGAGCGTTGGAAAATTTTTTCTAGATACAATAAATATGACTCATTATGCTAAAGACACCAATAGAGGACTCTAAAATCAAGTCTCCGGTAAAAGGTAAAGTACTTTTAAATTTAATAATTCTGGCCTCGTCGGTGTCATTAGTTTTATGCCTATTTTACATGAAATGCATTTTTAATTTAATATAGAAGCAGGTTTAATATTCTGAAGTATATTGATCTCCATAGTTCTGGTGATTTTAATGTAATATGCATGCGTTATAATTGTTTTAACCCTCATCAGCGTTCGTTTTAAAGGCAGAAAATGAATGCAAACCTTGGGTCTAATGCACAACAATTCTATTCTGTTTTGCAACTCATATTCTATTAAGAAAGTAGTTATTTACATGAAATATTTGGTTGTTTAAATGCCAAGAATATTTGTAAAGACTTTTTTCTTTTGTCTGCCATGTGTATGGCTTAAGCAGCACCTATGATCGTAAGTTTGCATCCAACTACAGTTCAGGTAAATTTATCGAAAAATATATTACAATGAGCAAAGAAAAAGAAGGTAATTAGTTAAACCTGAATACCCTTATAGCAGGTACTAAATCCCTGACTTAATCAAGATTAGTTTACATAACGTTATATGGTAAGAATTTCATCTTACCTGGAGAATAAAGAGATATCGAATCTTCTCACACCCCAAACCATGAGTTGTTTTCTTTCTGTTGGACCAACTAGTGCAAAGTTAAATCGAACGTAAAGACAGTAATTTTTTTTTTTACCAATGGCATCAATATTTAAAACCCTTCAATAATGCAAATACTATATCCCTTATTACTGGACGCGGTCAACATAAACAAACAACTATTGAACATTTCCTTTACACTACCCTTTTAGCAAAGGAAGTTTCGACTATTATTTTTCTAAAATACTTTTATTATGTGAATTTTTATTAGAATATAAAGATAAGACTCGTTTCTTGAAATAAAAATACATTTAATTCATCTCTGTAGCATTATAACATCTTAACATTTTTTTTTCTCTTCCAAAGATTGTTTCTACGTAAGTGTCTATAATAATCCATAGATGTATATTCTAATATTGTTTTTCAAAAGCGATTATTTTCATATTTTTTAACGTATATTTAACGCACTATAAGTGCGCGTGGAGTTACGTTTACGGCTTCCATTCATTTACTTTTCAAACTTTAAGCGCATTACTGAATACATTCTCTTTAGTTTAAGAAAGTGACACATTCACTTCAAGACTATTTTCTATCGGTATAAATATGCATTAAACGTTGTGCACAATCTAAACAGCGACACTTCAAACGTAATACATTAAATCTATATATGTAACTCAATAATCAATGTAAGTCGTAAAACATTGTATTACTTCCAGGCAAAGTTACCAGGGATTCAGAGTCCTGTTAGTTTCAACGGTTTGACTCAGCTGAGAAAATGTTAAATCTGGTTACAATATCTTAAGCTGAACATTTAACGAAAGTATAAAAAATTAATCATAATAAAGACATAGTAGAAGAAAAATTATAATTTTCAAATATAATTGCGATATTTCAGAATTTAGATGTGCTTTCGTATTTTTATATGTGTGAAAATAATACTAATAATACTAAATTAGAAACAACAAGCAGCGGAGCAAACCTGCTCTGTTGTTTGTCAAATGAAAATTGTCTGTCACAACCATCAGCAATCGATAAAACTAAAATAGCCATTATGTGACTAATGATGATTATCATGATTAATTACCATATTACTTATAGTTATACCTAACAGATAAAGACTAAGTTAAAACATTACAATATGGAAGTTAATTTAATACATTTTTATAATCTACTTAATTAAGCAACTTAGCATAAGGAATTACAGTCACTGCTACATCCAGTCTTCAAGTAACAATGGCTGAATTATGGATATGGATAGTCAAATTAATTTATGTATATTAAATAAGCGGAACTCGTACAATGCGTTTGATCTTTAGCACATATAAGAATACTTGTAATTTAGAATGAAGAAAATGATGCTTTTCAGCTATAAACATAATTTAATCCGACAGTACCTATTGTAAATAAATTATTAGACATGAAATCCACTTCGTTATTGTGTATCTAATAAGGTTGAAAATCATCGTAATGTTCTCGTCATTGCTAACAGATGCACTTATGGATTCACCCAGGCGCATCTGTAACAAACTAAAATTACTTATAATAATATGTCTTGATATACTCCATATTTTTTTTTCTTTTGCTTTAATAATTTAAATAAAGCTCCTTTAACGTGAAAAATGCGAGTATATTCTATTAACACCGTACAGAAGTCGAAAGCCTATTCATATCAAGACATAGATTAAACTTCTTAGGCCTTAGATCCTGGTTATTTGTATAACTTTTTGTGTTATTATTATTGTTGTTATTATGCATCCTTCAGGTCTATATACATTTCGTTTTTGAGCAGGTTGTACGGTCTTATGCTAATCTGTTGTTTGTGGTGCCATCTGTTGGCCTATGGTATCAGATAGCAGATTATCAAAGAAAAAACTCGCATGTGATTTTTTTCACTTTTTTCCTTTCTTATTTTCTTCTTTTTTTGTTTGTTTGTTTCATAGACGTAAAACCAATTTTTAGCAACCTTGTTTCGTGTTTTTCTGAGTTGCAACAATATAGCATACTATCCTATCAGCTGTCTGGTAAATTCATAAAATACAAAATTATAAACGAGGAAAAAGTATTGAAAAAGCCAGTCATTTTTCAATTGTGCCAAATGTACTTCAACACAATATTTCGTTCAAAGAGCATTTCCCTCTTTTACGTTAGCTAGCTATCCTTAATAATTGAGGATTGTATGGTTTAGTCTCGGGTCACGTGCAATATTCGTAACTGTGGTTAAACAAATTATCATGATTTCAAATTTATACCAACAACCATGTTTTGTATTACAGTTAAATTATATATTTCAAAATATAAAAGCTACTACATAAGCAGTTTAAATCCAATATACATAATTTATGATCGTTCAAAGTTTTCCTGTGTAAATAACTTTATTCTTGAAATTGCTATACAAACGTATTTGTTTACCTTGTATTTAATTGTTATGATGTTGCTAACCAGAATTGAAATTGTTAATAAATACTTCTCCGTACGGAGCCCTTATAAGTACAGATTTCAAAATTACTTAAAGTAAAAATTGAAACCCTCAATAGCCAAAATCGTAATGAGTTACGTCGCTTTCTGAAACATGTCGTTAAATATAGATAAATAGAGATTGGTTTTCGACTACTTTTAACAGTTAAATGTTATGTAAAACCTACATTAAAGATAGAAACCTTGTTGCTTGAAGCTGTCATTTTCAAAACTTAAAGTACAAAAACCACTTTTAAACACCTTGTACCACCTTCAAATGCGAATGAATAATTATAATTAAACCTTAAACTGGAACATAAAATTGAACCGCCAATAAAAGTAGAAAATCCTCGTTTGATTGAATACATTTTATAATCAATATTAGAACATAAAAGCTTTATCTATTTTCGTTAATGTAAACAAATTTAACATTTTCATCGAGTCGTAGTTTTTTTTTTACTAAATTGTTAACTAGGTAATTTTTTTAAATTCTCAACTTTCTTCATATCAATATTAAAAATTAGTCGTAACAGATACTTGTATGGCATAGCAAAGCGTCAAGTGAGGCATACAGAAAGTAAACTCTGTGTCTAAGCTAAAGCTTTAAGTTGTAATATAAACATTGGTGTCAAACAGAAAACTTGAGTAACATCTGTTCATGGTAATAGAAATAGGAGTTTTAGAACTAGCATCTGCCCTGTGTTATCGTTTTTCAGATGTACTATAAAATTAAATGTCTCTGTAATGAGAAATTCAGAAAGAAAAGTGACCGTTTTTCCTTCATTTTTATGTAGCTCATTAGGCTCCCAGAAGTATCTAAAAAGGGTTTATTTGGGGATTCTTTCTCTCGAGTATCAGAAACAAAAAACATATATATTAAAAGTAGAACATCTTGTGTCATTCTTAATACACCTGTGATTAATTTTTAACCGTATAATAGTTAAGGAGAAGAAATCAGGGCTTTCAGACTTTATTCAACATCCTTCAATGTAAAAGTCCGATTGGACTTTCCGGAAGAGCTTACCCCTCCCCTTATTTAAACATTTTAAAGTATGTTGTAATTGTGTTAGCAGTGTTTTTCTGTGAGCCTTTGAATTATGCAGCTCTCAGACATACAACAAAAATCATGATAAAATTTTAATTCGTTATGTCTTATAAGAGCAGTTTCGTTTAGTAATATCCAATCAGAAGCTATGTAACATATCATTCTCTTTGTCATAAACTTTATTAAGTTTTGTAAGTATGTACGTTCATGCTGTTAACTACAAGAAGCGGACTGCTAGATAAAATAGAATGAAAATATCAAACACACTGCACGTCAATTTGAACAAAATCCTTCTGCTTCGAATTATTAACAATTCTATATACATTTGACCATGAAATGTTACTTTAGGTTAACATGAAATAATTAGGAAAGACTATTTTACTCTAATTTACTATAATCATGAAGTCCCCTGAACATATGTATATGTTCGTGTAGTGCATAAAGTGACATAATAAACCCGATGAAACTAATGTGTAAATTCAAGTAAGACATGGCCTAACACATGTACAAAATGTTACGAATAATTTATTCTTATTGTAGCCATTTCTACTTAGATATTTACAGACAGATTAGATCTAGATCAACAAGACAGCTTTGAACGGTGATGATACACAATTCACACTAACGTGTACTACAGTGTAAAATTCATTACTTGTTGACCACCAGATGTTTCTACTCTAAAACTAACGTAAGCATTTAGCTTCAGCACGTAATGTCACAATAATGTTACTACGTTTAACTCAATTAACACTTTGACCACAGTCAGCTTCTAGTATATTAAGTAGTGGGTTATTTTTATCCAAATTTTGTTTAGGCCAGACTTCTGGTAAAGGTGGACAGCGTATAAGGAAGGGGGTTGCTTTCTTCTGTATTTGGTTGCTTTTACTTGGGACTGTTTATGAAAATTATAAACTGTGAAGTAAAGTGAAACTGGATAACCTAAGTTTTATAATATAAATGCTGTTTTGATTCCAGTCGCATAAGTTAGTTAAATATTCATGAAAATTTTATACATCTCAATTTGTCGATATTTATAAAACTATCTCCTGTGTTCACAAACGATTTTGAGAGGTGAAAATATAATTTACTAAGAATATTTTCATTCACAGTTACTGAGTGATTGATAATATAAACTTCTAACTCCGCCCCCCCCCCACGTGGCACAGCGGTATGTCTGCGGACTTACGACGCTAGAAACCGGGTTTCATACCCGTGGTGGGCAGAGCACAGATAGCCCATT